TCTTCCACCGAGCATACTCCTCTTTCTCCTGCTCAGGAGCATCAGCCGCCGGCACCGCCGGGCAAGCATCAGTGATAGCAAACTTATAACCCTCAGCAGTCAACACTATGTCTAAGTTCCTCTTCCAATCAATGTAATTAGGACCAGTAAGCTGATTTTCTTTTAGAATGACAGACAACGGATTGAACGACATGATGAATATCCTGAGAATCATGCAAATAAATTTTACAGATTAAACACTTTTGAATTTAACTGTCAATATTGAGATCCTCAAAACAATATTAACTTAAATTCACCGACATCTATTACACCTCGTGAGAATGTATGCTACGTGGGTCGCCCTACAAACTCGCATTTTGTAAGAGAAGGACTTTTCAAGGGCCCATTAATTTCCATAAGTCAAAACCACATTCATGACTAACGAAATTAATAGTCGGTCTCCATTTGGCCATGCAATAAATCCAGGGACCCCGTGGGGAGTTTATAGATAAGTCGCATTCTAAGTGAATCCCATTTCTCGATTCTGAGGTTGTCAAAATTGATTACACGTCCCCCGTGGGGAGGCCCGTGCGTTCTCTTAAGATTCCCTCTAACCGTCTAATTTTAGAAATTTGTCCTGGTAATTTCCTACAACCAATTTTAGCAATGTCACCCGTGGGGGAGCCCATTGCCGCAATTAATTGATTTACCGACAAATTAGAAATGGAGGCCTTAGGAATTTTACAATTAACTTTAATTTAAAATCCCTTCTCAAACTTAGTATAATTTAATGAGGATTTTTAACTATTTATACAATTCCAAATTAATCTATGTTAATGCAATAATTAATTAACATGCATATTAATTCATGCAATTCTAAATTAATCTATGTCAATGCAATAATTAATTAACATGTTCAATAATTTATGCAATTCTAAATTAATCCATGCCAGAACATAATTAATTACATGCATAATTTATTGACACAATTCTAAATTAATCCTATGCATCACATAATTAATTAACATGCATAATTAATCTTGCAATACTAAATTAATCCCATGCAAGAACATAATTAATTAACATGCATAAATAATAATTTAATGGCATAATAAATTTAATTAAATAAATAAATAAATCCACTATTATGGCCATTAAATATTGAGTCTCCTTAAACAAGGAAACTGTGACAGTTCTTTTCCCTGTTCAACTGGAACTCCTTTAAGCAGTAGAATCCTGGTTGATCTTGTACTGCTTGGACAACAAGGCAAAAACACCAGCTACCAGCCGCCACCTGCCGCCGCCACCAGCCACCGCCGGTTCGCCGGCCGCCGCCACCAGTTCGCCAGAAAAACGCCGTTTTTTTTTTTTTTTTTTAATTCTTCGAGGCTCGTTGATCTCTTGTGATCTCCCGGTTATCAACACACGATCACAACACGAAAAATATAATTTACAAAATTACATAATTCGATCCTAGATCCAACGAATGGATGTACATGTTTTCTAAACAAATAATTAAATCTATCCGGTCAACCCCCGGGCGAATAATTATTACAAACATTCATCCATAAATTCCTCGACATGCCCGAGGCTTTAAAAACAAATTTAAAACCATACATCACATTCAACAACATTCATCAAACACATAATCGGCCATAATAGTGGATTAACTATTTTCCTGCAAAACCGAGTTATGCAAATATAATCCAATATATGGCTGCGTTTGAACACATCTTGTCAAATAAAGCCGTAAAAATTCGAACTTTGTACAAAACGAATTAACCAAGTGCTCTGATACCACTTGTTGGGATCTGTGAGGATCTCGTTATGTACAAATCACGAATTCAATAGCAAACGTAAACCTATGCGCAGCGGATCTAAAGGTTTGACGTAGAGAACTTACGGCTTAAAATTTATGTAGATCTGGTTGACCACGAACGGTTGACCGCAATTGATTGACCGCAACACGCGTCTTGGGTTGCACGAACAAGATCAGATCAAAACTGGATCAAACGGATGCAAACAGATCAAAACGAAATTTTGCTGCCAGACACCTTCCGGCGGCGCGTGAGGGCGCGTGCGGCGTCGGATTCCGGCGACGTCGGCGGCGATGGAAAGCTCTCGTCGAGACGGTCGTCTGGGTATACTGTACGTCTCAATCGGACTTCCGGTTAGTTCTGTAGGTCAAAATCAATTTCGTCTCGGTTTACCTACAGATCTTCTACTGTATTACTCAATACACCCTTCTTCAACTTGTACCAGTGGAGCAACAAGAAGAAGATAAAGCTCGAATGAGATCTAGAGAGAGAGATGGTTTCACGTGAGAATGAGACTTCTATTCTCTTCTCATGAGCTTAATGATGTATATATAGAGCTACAGTAGGGACCCTAAGGAGATTAGGAAAAGGGCTCCTTAATTAATTAGACTAACTGTGGGCCAAACCCACTCCTCTAATTAATTAAATAATATTAATGGGCCACCAACATTATATTATTGCACTCCCTTTCCCTAGCCCAAATTACATTTGAGACTCCAATAATAATTACTCGATTTACCTCCCCACGTTTAAGATATAATGTCCATTAATTAATTCGATTACTGACAATCAAGAATTAATTAATTTATTATTATTTCACCGAAGCTAGCGCTCGTTCATCACATTCTTATTATGCCGGAATTTAATCCACCTGCAGGGTTTAGCATAACAATCCTTCATGAACTCACTCCGGGGACATCATCAAACTAACGCACATGGTGACCGTAAATATCCTAACAGCACATCCTATATATAATAATATTACCCAAAACAGTAGGAATATTAATCCAGCGAACTGAACCTCACCCATGTGAATCAAAGTAATATATATTATATATATCTGCCTGTTTAATATCTTACGGGTTAAGAGAACGCAGTAATTAACCGAGGCCTAGTTCATTTACGACGATCAGTATAAAATGAACTTCTCCTCTCTGGGATCCTGTTCAATACATAAATGTACTAGTGCAACTAATCAGTCAAGACAAACTGTACAGTTGACACTACAACCGTTCGGATGGGGTGTTCATGTCCATCTAGGTTGTGAACAACTATTCTTGTTCGCAAGTGACTGATAGAGTGATCTTCGGTTCGCCCGATGACGACCCACCCTATCTAAGTGCAAAACAACAGAACGTAGAACTTGTTTAATCTAACATGATTCTCATTCATAAAGGGTAAATGTGTAATAACATGCAAAGCCAAGCTTTCAGTATATAACACTAACAGTTTGCATGTTTTTAAAGAAGCTGGTATTCAGTCTCAGCCAGTTGTATGTAGATGTTTACCGTGTCACAAATCAAAAGAGCTTGAAAATATTAGTTTGTTTGGAGGATGGTATGCCTACAAGGTAAAAAATGTTGTCTATAAGAAAGTTTTTAATAATATATAATATTATTTTTTATTCTATCTATTCAATTTTACTTATTCACGAACGTAATAATAAGGTTGAGTAAATAGTCTTAAAACGGTCCATTCTGTGCATCGTTCTGATTTTGCACTAGTATAAAGCAACATATTAACTCTATCTGGGACTTGGGAGTATGAATTTTCCAAAATTGTCACCTCAACCTTGCAATAAAAATCTTCAATAATTTATTGACGCGTTTGGTGAGTATTGGGCTGGAAAATTTGGAAAAGCTTTATGAGATTGACAAATGACAATGGCGCTTTGGCGTGGAGCGTTGTGTGTGTGTGTTTTTTCTTTTTTTTTGTTTAGATTATAATTTGGACTATTGATATAACATGGGCGCCACCACTATTCCACTAACACATGTTTTTGACAAAAAAATTGTTCATTTGGAACTCATATTTGGACTTAATTTATGCTATATTTCTTGTCCTTTTAGAAAACAATAAAGACATTGTTACTCTGATAACAAGTTTAACGGTGAGATAAACATAATTTTTTTAATGAATATGTATATTCTTAAACTGAATGTCACACTGTAAAAAACAGCATAAACAAAAGTATGACATAACATAAATATGTATTTTTTGTTAAAAGTAAACAACGGCTCAATCTATTTAATGGATAGACTGCACACAAACAGTTGTGTAAAGAAACAGAAATGAATTGATAAGTTTACTTAAACAAGTGAAACTCGAACAACTAATCAAGCTCGTTTTATTTAAAGAGATGAACTGAGCTTGTTCGTGAACATATATATTTTTTAATATGGTTTCGAACAAATAATCGAGTAGATAATGTTAGTAAATACATAAATTGTGTTCGCAAACAATTCATTTACGAGTTTTAGTTTGTAAACTAGTCGAGCGATTTGTTACACGAGCATGAGCTCTGAAGTGCTTTCTTTGCTTGAATGAATTCTCTTTTTAATGGTTGATTGGGTATATTACATGAAATCGCGTGGGAAACTAGGAAATATGGTTGTGAAGTGAGTTCAACGAACATCATTAATTTTGGTTGAAATGTAAAAACAAATATTAATTTGCAGGCTTCAGAAATGTGTATTTATAATCAATATTTTTCAGTAGCAATCACACTT